AAGATGAAGATGAAGATGAAGATGAAGATGAAGATGAAGATGAAGATAAGGATAAAGATCATAACCCCTTAACTTTAACTCATCTTAACTTAAAAACTTACTCCACCTGAGCTCACCACACATTAATTCACCACACTTTAACTCCCCACACCTAAATTCACCACACCTCAACTCGACACACCTTAACCCCCGCACCTAAATCCACCACACCTAAATCCACCACCCTTAATTCACCACACCTCAACTTTCTCACCACACCTTAACTCACCTCAACTCACCACACCAAAATTCACCACACCTTAATGCACCACACCTCAACTTTCTCACCATAACTTAACTCACCACACCTGAATCCACCACACCTAAATTCACCACACCGTAACTCCTACACCCAATTCCACCACACCGCAGCTCACCACACCCAATTTCACCACATGACATGATATCACTTGATGTGGCATCAAAGGCAACATCATTTGGCATAAAATTAACCAAAATAAATAAGATTTAGATAGAGGTGAAAAAAGGGATAAAAAGGAAATACAACTGAAGAGTGTGCGATGTTATATTGTGGTGTGTTATGCTTCATATGTTATGTTATTTATTCTCATGTTATGGTTACGTTATGTTATGCCAAGTACTAAGCTAAACTCCCCTCCACTTAACCCATTACAACTAATGTTATTTTAGCTCATTCAACTTACATAAACTATCCTTAATTTTATCGGTTGAATTTCAACCGCTGGGCGAACACTAGTATATATAAAAGTGCTTAAAAGGCAAATATTTATACCATCGATAGACCTTTTAGATTATTTTTTACCAAAAGCGTTTATTTATCCAAAAACACCGCGGCTGCTGGGTGTACTTTGGTTCTAGGCTTACTCTGGCATCCTAACGGCCGCTTTTGCTTAAAATATATTCAAACTCAGATTCTTCGGACACCACGTCCGCAAAAAGCAGTTTAATCACTTTTTAATTTAATTGTTTTAGAAGCTGTACAGTGACCGCTAACTTGAAATTAAAAAAGGGCTTAAAATCGTCAACCCAGAAAAACTGAGCCATTACTTTTTTATATACAATCCACACTTTCAGAAAAGCCTAGCTTCATCAGTTCCCCTGAAAAAAAGTGAAAATGTTTAAAAATAGCTATTCGGACATGAGTACCAATATACCTATGTGCAAAATAATAATAGTGCGAAATTTGGACCAGTTTTGACTATTCGTCTTTACATTGATTTATATTCGTTAATTTCATATAATAGCCCTTATTTAAATTTTCAAGTGATTTTAGTTTTCAGTTTTCGAATCTATATGTAATACATGTTTGTTACGTATGGGCACATTTTTACCTACTTTTCCATCACTGCAGGCTGCTGCCAATTTGAACAGCTGTTAAGTGACATTTTAGCATTTGTAATTTGTAAACAAAACTCTTCGCTGAAAGTGAATTCCCATGGAAAATTCCATTTGTTTAGCATTAGTTTTAATGTTTTAAAAATTTCAATTAGAGGCTGGCTCGTGTTCTTTGCATCCATGAACAAAGATGGGAATAAATTCGCACGTGGTAGTTTTTTTTACAATCAGCCACCATACACACATTTCAACAAATCATTTGATGAGCCCGGCGACGCGTTGTACCATCATTTAAATGAAGTTCATCCGGTGTTTATGCAGTCTGAGCACCTTAATCAATGCCCCGATTATCGGGTGTTATTGGATCCCCGAACTAAGACTGAGGTGAAGCAAATTTTTTACGATCACACGATAGACGAATGGCAAAGCATAGAAATTTTTCGAAGTCTGCAGACTTCGATTATAAAAAGATTAGATCATCTAGCATGCTTACGAGTTATAAAAGCATGGCAAGAATTCAGTGAAGTAGATGACCGAGACGTTTTCCGTTGGCGGTCGCTAGAGCGTGAGAGGACATCTGAAAAGGAAGCTTTTGACAAATTTTTGATAGAATACTCTCGTACGCAAAAAGAAGCGATTTACGCGCCAACCGACCGATTTGTTACACTTTACAAACGTTTTTACGCCGCAAAGTTAAACCAATTACTTTTAGAATATCCAGAGAACTTGCCACTGAACACCCACGCTGGTATCCCACATCCCCGATTTAATAAGTCTGGTCAACGTAAAAGTATGCAAATAGAAAATGTAGGATTGATAAGACGAAAAGGTTGGGTTCCAGTAAAGCACGAATGTGCTAACGATTTCCAGCGACTCAATTTACAGTTGGAAAGATGCATGGATTACTATATAAATAGTATTACCACAGTAAGTGATGCGATGTGGGAAACTAATCGCAAATCCCAGCAATTGGCGCACCAATTTCATATACCATTAGAGTCACTGGTGTTTTTGTTAACGGCTGGTAATTCACCTGACCTGCCAACTGAGGTTCATTTACAAATTGAGAAGGGCATTGACAATTTAAAAATTATTAAGTTCAAAGAACCATTGCCGCCACGGATCTGCGGTTGGTACACACATAAACTGATAGTGGAAAATGCCTTTGAAGCTTTGGTGAGCACTAGTGAAGGATCCCAGTGGTTGTATATAGACAATGATATTATACAACAGAAAAAAGCCGTCGACCCAACCGAAATTCAAGCGGCGATAGATCCTAAAAGAGAATTTCATGCTTACGAATTTGGTGAATACTTAGAAAAAAAATGTAAAAGTCGTGAAAAAAGGATTAAAAGTAATTTTGCTCTTGTTGAGTGGAATCTGAATGGAAAGGATCAGGACGAGAACAATATTAACCTGCAGCTTTTTACAAGTCTAAAATTGGCCCCTGCAATGGATATATCCGGTGCACAATTGCTAAGCGGTTATTCAATCAAATTAGAATATAAACCCCAATTTGGAGCTGAACAATTGACACAATATGAACTGATTAAAGAATGGCTGCGAATAAAGCTGTTGGGCCAGTGTAGTGGATTTACTGATGGGACTCTATGTTTTCGCGTGGCGGTGAAGAACTTAAGCTTGCAGTTAGAGCATAGTTTAATGCTGGCCAGTATTGAACTGCAACTTTCCGAGGGGTTTCAATTAAAAATGCCGCAGCTTATTGCAGGGCTAACAGACACCCTACAGTTGTTGGTGAATATGCCAATAGGCCAATACTTCTTACGATACAACCCAAAGTACCCTGAAAGGCTGCTGTTGTCGGCACCTTCGAAAGAAATAACACCAAATACCGTTTTCTTGCATACACTACTCAAAGTCGAGCCATCCGATTTAGCGTTTATGACGGATGTACGGCATCTGCCTATTAACGATTCATTATGCACCGTTGTGCATGAGCGCTTCAAAATTATGCCATGTGCATTCAAACCGCGATATTCTCATCAAAATAGTTATCGAAGGCAACCTAGCACATTTAGAATGCCAACAAGTGATGAAGAATATATTCGAAGAAGATTAGCAGTGAAAAAGAAAAAGAAGGACGATCTCCTTCGACTGAAAAAATCTCAAAGAAGGCTAGTTAAAGCAACAAAAGTAAAGCGACGCAAAAAGCTTGAAAAGCAGGAAGCTGCTAAGGACAATGAGTTGGAGAAATTCATCAATGAATTTTAGTTAATAACATTTAGTTTTAAATTAAACACCTTTTGTCTGAAATACATGTATTAAAACTAAAATGATTTTACACTTAAAAAACGTATAGAACTAATTATTAAGTTTTCTACTTAACTATGATATACTTAGTTTGCCGAATTCCTCTGCAGAAATCATTTCAACATCGGTATACGTTGGTGCATCTTTTTGCGCCCAAAATTCGGCATTAGCCGGTGGGAGCGAGTTCGCAGGAAATACATGCACAGACAAGTCATTAAAAACATTATGTGTCTCATAATCATCCTCCAATTGAAATTCTTTTACGTAGGGCAGCAATTCTAAAATAAAACCAGAGTCTAATCTTAGCAAGCGCTCGGGTTTGCTAAGTGATAAACTCTCGAAACTGTTATTTATGAGCACTACGTGTTTTAAATTGCGCGGTCGCCAGTTCCTCCACAACAAATTGTTTGTCAAGCAGTTTGGACAGTGAGGCAGGTAAAAGAGAGTGAGCTCATCTACAGCATATTTAGCTTCACAATTTTCTGTCATCAGAGCACAGTTCAGATGTTTCAGAATTTGCTTCTCACACTCGCGGAAGACAGGATCGAAGTATATAGCCTCCTCGATGCAGTAGTGTCGTTGTGCGCATATTATGAATGCCAGCTGATGTAGTGCTTGGAAATTGCGTGAAAAGGGGCCAATGCCAAAACAGACTATACGGGAAAATTTCTCTTTACCCGCCAGCACTTTTAAACTGTCATCCACTGTTTCCATAGCTTGCATAAAGTAATCACTGCAAACCATTTGTGTGCATAAATGTTCTAGGCGTCTATGATGGGAGAAAAAGGAAGCTTTTTTTTTTAAATAATTAACAAGATTTCAGATACTTTGCTTACTTCACAAGGGCCTCCACGTCCACTTCCTTATCGTCCTTTTCATTGGCACGTTCAGACAGTTTTCGTAATCGGGGGTTCATTGATCTGCGCGCGATCCATTTTTTTCTTGTTACTGTGCGAAACTCTTCGGACATTTGTAAAACCCTTCAAAATATTTGTAAATATTTTTGATTTATTTTTATTGGAATAGTTCCAATTGGAAAGTGGTTTTGACATTTTATCTCTCGCTACTTCGTAAACATGCAGCACCCGGAAACGGTTTGGCACTAAAAGCACTACCGGAAGTCAGCTGTCAACCATTCAGCTTTTGTTAGAGACCTTCTTTTGACAGATTTTTCCTTTGAGTTTGCAATTGGCCGGTAAATTTCATTCGGAGCGTGATTATTTTTATTTTATATATCAAGATTAATAATAGTTTTCGAGGAACAAATTATCAATTGTAAGTACTAAAATAGTTATAATTCAGAAGAACTTAAAACTAGTTAAAATAGTTGTATAATAAAGTACGAACTGCTCCACAAGATAGAGACGGAAAAAATTTGAATTGGAAAATTGGAATATTGTTTAGCTCCACTAAGGTTCTAATCAAGGGAGCATATATTGCATAGTTGGTTTTAGAAAATACGATGTAGAAAGAAAAAACACTGCGTAAATTACGTGTAGGATGGTTATTCTTTCCAAGAGGTTAGGGCAATCAATCGAACCATTCAAGAGGTTGGCAACATATGAGCAAGAAAGATAAGCAGATCTGCTACTGCGTACGATTTGCCAACTATATATTCGATATGCGTGGAAAAGCTTAGTTTCGTGTCGAAATAGACACCTAGATCCTTGACTTCATTAACATGATTAAGAGGGGATCCAGAAATATGATAGCGCGTGGGGAGCGGAATTAGCTTTCTTGTATATGTACAATGTGAGCACTTATTTATACTTAGATGAAGACGGTTTCGTATGCACTAATTATGTAGTTTAACAAGTTAATAGATATTTAGATGACGAGAAGCAGGACCCTATGCCATTAATAAATAAAATAAACAACAGCGGTCCAAGTATACTATCCCCAGGAACACCCGACGTCGCGATAAAAGGCTTTGAGTAGACATCCTCGAACACAACCAGAACCAGAAAATTTGAATGGAAACCCATGGAGAGTAATTTAGCCACTAAGACCTTGTGAGAAACTCTGTCAAATACCTTTGAAAAATCTATATATATTGTGCTGACTTGCTGGCCTGCTTGAAAAGCAGACAGACAATCTTCCGTAAAAATTGCGAGATTGGAGACTGTGGACCTTCCTTTAATAAAACCATGTTGGTTTGGACTAATTAAGCTGCTAACTGAGAATGACAATTTCTCCTTAACAGCACATTCGAAAATGTTTGCAACTGTGGTTAACTTTACAGTTGGTCTATAATTAGATACATCATTTTTGTTGCGACTTTTAAAAATCGGGGCTATATGAGCCTTTTTCCAATCATCAATAAATTTGCCCGATGCTAAAGACATATTAAAAATCAGTGTCAAAGGTTGAATTAATGCATGCAAAAATTAAAGAGTATGGCTGAAAGACCATCAGGATCCATAAGATTTGAGGTTTTAAGTGAATCAATACCACTACCAACGTCCACTTCCGACAGTATAAGCATTAGCATGGGCAATATCTGAGTCACACACAAAATTTGAGGAGAAAAACTCGGAAAAAATATTGGCTGCTTCCTCGGAACAACTTGCATGTTTATCCTTATGAAAAACAGGCGCAGGAATGCTAGATTTCGAAGTTTTAGATTTAATATAACCCCAGAATGCTTTCGGATTTTTTTTTTATATTAGCTTCCTGGTGATTAACGTATTTTGCGTAGAGTACTTATCGAGTTCATTAAATTTCTTTAAGTATAATTGGTATTGCTCATAATAAAATGGTAGTTTAGTCGCTTTAAAATCATTATATAATCGTCATTTTTCGATTTATTTAGTAACGATCATTTTTAAACGTTATTTTATGATTTTTATTTATTCGATCGAAAATAATTGTTATTCTTTGATTTTTATTTTTTCAATAATTTTTAAACGTTATTTTTTCGATCATATTTTCAGGGTTAATCTTGTGAGATCTTAGAAAACCGATAAAACTTGTACAAAGGTAGACCTAAGATAGCCTCAAGAACCACAAAAAAAGATCAGTAAAAACATGAAAACAAAAATTCTTTGATTTATTGCATTATTGATAACAGTGATGGGCAAAATTTTATTTACTAAAAATTAAGTGCTAAGTATTTTGGTATTTAATAATAATATAATATAATAGATTGGCGCTTACACATATGTTAGTGTTTGGCCGAGCTTCTACTCCGACTTGTGGGGTGCGCCTTGATATTGTCACACAAAGTGGAAGGACCTACAGTTTTATGCCGACTCCGAACGGCGATTGTATTTTTATGAGAAGCTGTTTTTGTTCAACAGTTTTAAAAAAATTTAATATTTTAGGCAAAAAATATTTTTTTTCTTCATACATTTATTTTTACCGGCAAAACTGTTGATTATATAGAAAAACGTTATATGAACAGATTAAAGGAATTGTAATTTTTAATTTTTTTAAATTTGTTTGAAATCGGAAAATCGGACTAGTGGTTCTCGAGTTATGTCAAAAAAAGACCACCAAAGGTGACAATTTCCACTATATGATAGTTATATATATATCTCGATTCCTAGACGTGACCCAGCGAAACGCCGGGACACGTATAACTTGTTTTTGACCGATATAACATTTCCCGTTGGTTTCATCCCATCCCGATTTTGACTGTCGCATAGTGTAATCATATCGTTTATAACATCGATAACAATATAAAAAAATATAACAATTGCAAAATCATTGCATTTTTAACCGACTTCCAAAAAAGGAGGAGGTTATCAGTTCGTCGGAATATTTTTTTATTTTTTTAATTTTTTTTTAATTCAATTTTATTTTTTTTTATGTATGTTACCGCATAACTGTGGACCACGTCAACCTTCGATAATTCTTTTTGCATCGGAAAGGTAGTGTCTCAGAGGTGGTCCCATACTAATCTGGTTAAGATGCGATCAGTGGTTCATGAGAAATGTATATATATATATATTTTTTTTTTTATATGAGAGTTGAAGTCGTTTTTTTTGCTAAAAATTACTTGTTATCATAAAACTCATAACGGTTACGGTCTCTGCATTTACTACATTCCTAGCAGCTGAATTTAGTTGGCGGTGCTAGCGTTGTTCAGCGCCGAAAATTAAAAAAAAAATAATAGACATGAGTATTGTGTATGACACTGTATGACGGTGGGTACTGTCGTTACAATGCACACCATTTTATTTTTTTTTAATAAAGTAGTTTAGGTAAAAACTGTCAAACGAAAAGAAAGCATTTAGCATCAATTAGCTGCGAAGCTCTATAAGTGCGTTGTTAAATAATGTATTGTGAGTTTATTTGATTTTTTTTTAAATATTCGCAATATGTTTTCTTAACTAAATACTTAAAGGCTTCACCGGAAAGACTTCTTATAAGCGCCATAGACGGTACGTCTGACTCGCGAGTCGGTGTAACGTAACACATATTTATTTTAACTAATATGTACATATAATATGTATGTATGTACATCCAAACCGACTCGCGAGTCAGACGCACCGTGTATGCCGCCGCCTATTAGTTACTTAGCATCACAACCGTTAGTCGGTTCAGACCACAATGCCTACTTAAATATGTAATATTTCACAATTATATTTTAATACATATTCATTATTAGAAAATAGCGTTAAAATCAAATTAGGTTCGGTTCATGAATCTTTCGTTTTAGAGTGTAATCCTGAATCCTGCATATTTTACCGTCACGAAAAAAAAAAATTTTACTTGCAACCAAAAGTGATGCATTTCCTATTCACTGAATAGAAGTGCAGTAAAATTAAAGTTTTCTCTACGTTTGCACATATTTATATATTTACATATTATATTTACATGTATGTATGTATTGTGCATTTGTACTTTAGTATTTTCGTTGAACTCACTTACCGACTCCAAAGCTGCTGCGATCAGGGCAATACGAAGAAGAAACTTGTTTTCTTCGTCACTTTGGTGTGGTGAAACTAGCGTCGATGACTTTCTGACGCATATGGAATTTACCATGCATATGATCGTGTCAGTCGCGAACGAGCAGGGCTGCAATTCAAACGTCTATAACGGAAGAGAAGCGGAAAATAGCTTTGATCGTGTACGAATAGTAGTGCACTAAATCGCTAAAACGAATTTCCTTCATCTGCATGCCAGTTACATATAAAAGTTATTTATTTTTTAAACTAAGAACCGCAAAGTGGTAACAAAGTAATTAAGGGTGTCTTATATACGAAATTAATTGGCGGTTAAATGGATAGATGGAAGACAAAGTGTTGAATTAAGTCAATGGTCTGACCTACTTAACGGTAAACGTTCGGCTGTATGTGTTAAAAACTAATGTATATTTTTTATGTAAATCAACTAATAACCCGAAATTCGAAAACGAAGCAATAACTTATAATTTTAGTGCTAAATGAAGTGAGAAAGCACACTCAACACTAACAACTTTGGTCGTAATGAATGTGGCTGCTGAATTTTTTTTGTTTTTTTTTTTTTTGTTTTGGCAAATTAACCCACATTCTGTTGGCAGAAGAATTAAAATTTAAGTAACGTAAGTCGAACGCAAAAACAATACTCATTAATACAACAAAAATAACAACGAACATACAAACCGTAAACTATGTATAAAATATAAACGAAATGCCAATACAAACAAATATCTAGTTACTAAAACTACAAAAACACAGTCGCAAGCAACGTGAAATTAATGTATTAAAAAAAACTAAAAGAAGTCACCAGCAAACTAACGCAATAAAAAAGCAGCATCAGCGCTAACGACAACTAGTACCTGCGTACAAATGTATGTATGTATGTACATGCATACCTACGTCATATACAAAGTGCATTGTTTTTGTAGGTGGATCATAGAAGAGTGCAGTGTCTGTAAAAAAGCCAGCGTCACCGCGTCGAATGATTGCAAATTGCCATTTTAACTTTAAATACTCCTTCGAACACAAAAATCTACAATACGAACTAAAGCTTTCAGCTACACAAACGTACTTGCAAATATAAACTTACTTACTTGTTACAAAAAGAAAACACAGCTTCACGCGAGTTAAAAAAAATATATATGAACCTGTAACTGATACTTTAC